ATTATACAACTTATTGTTCTTGTTTTCAGACCAGAGCACTCGAGCAAAGCCGTGTCAGACTTCGGCAGTGGTAAGAGACTCACGTTTTACACACCGACTGCTATGATAAAATTTCTTTGTCCAACATAGAACCTTCGAGTCAGATGTATAGAACTGAAAACTTTACTTTCAAAGGTTAGGTCATAGGTAAAACCTAGATCTAGAGAAGCTGTGTAGTCCACGTTTTTTATTTAGCTGATACAGCTGTAGATTGATCACGTAGCTCGTGCGCATAAGCACTCGCGCGCCTGCACATGATATGAGGGTGGGTTGTTACTTGGCAACTCACAGAGTGTACTCGTAATCATAGAAGATGGCTACTAGTGTAACGTATTGCTAGTTTATCTTTAGTAGTGTTGCAAAATGATGATTGTTATCACTTGTTATTACCAAGGTTATAAGTAAAAACTAAGAAAAAAAAGCTTTCAGCCAATGTAGCGTAATTCAATTATGTGCATTTAGATTTGAATAAGGTGAAGGCAGAAGAGAGCTATGCCTTTCCAACAACGTTAGCCAATAAGTCAGATGGTCAGATAAACAAATTTGTGGTTTTGTGAAAATTTTGTTTTTACTCTACCGACTTTCTCAAATGCTTTGTGGTTTGTTACTCTGAAGTTGATTTGTTTAATACTGAACAGTGTGTATAAAGTGATTATAAAGTTTTGTTTACATTCTATTTGCAGCATGTTTAAGGTTTTAATGTGCATTGCACATCTGGCCTATTCTTACTATAAGTACTACCGTACTTATGATAAATATAGAATTAAACCATCTAGGACCATTAAAACATCTGGTCTATGATCTCTTCTGTTGAAAACCTTATACCATCTTATGAGCAATATTATATACATGTATATATTAAGATGTGATCAGATCGGGAATTTAGAATTTCCAAGACGGACATATCACTTGTATTGGAATACAAAGGAATATGATCATCTTCGGGCACCAGTATCATCCAGAAAGAAACCTACAATGACCGGCTTCCAGGAGTGATAAGCAAAGTGTGGCATCATGCAGCAGGTGATAGCTTTATGATAAGGATTAAAAAGATGTGGGGGAAAAGAAGGTTGAAACTGAAATTTTCAGCCTGAACGTAATCTTATGGAACAAACAGTTAGGTCAGCGACCTCTAGGATTAAACTTCAGTCGTTCCTAATTTCACACAACTTATCAGAGAGAAGGCAGTTGGTCAGCAGCACCTGCCCTCATAAAAGCTTTTCATCTCTTTGTCCACCGAATAAAGTCATTTACTGTTGCTTTTATGACGTGCCTACAGATGACAAATGGGGATCCTATTCAGCGGTATCACGTTTCGAACCTTCGATAAGCAGACCGACACGTTAGTCACTGGCCACTTCCAACCCATAAATTAGAAAAAAAAGGTAAAAAAGATTTTTCTCTATTTCAGTAAAGATATTATTACTAAAAGAGTAATTTTTATATACTTCTATAGAGATTTGATAAAATGTTTATTATTTTCGAAGAAAACAAAGAATGCGTGTTTGGTTCTTCAGGACTATATTTTAAACCGTTCTGCTCACAGTAACAATAGGATACACCTTTTAAGCTCGGGCAAAATTTGAACTCACAGCTACAAAATCAAACTATTCATAAACGTCTCGTTAAGCATTAGTTGAAACTATTTAGAATCAAATTCAAGAAGACTGATAGAATAAATTTAGATAAATTATTAAAGTTTTCGTGTTATTTAATAAACAGACCCATTCAAATTACTTCATCTGAACGAGTGTTTGAGTAAGTAGATTCTTCATCAATACTAACCCAGTAAACGTTCATTAAGTTGTAATCACTTAATATTTAACTTATATAATTTCATCATATGCGATGTGCCTCTTGTTTTTAATTATTATTTTGTTATTCTTTACATAAGATTTTCAATATTAATGAAAACTTATGAAATTTCCTTCCAATTTTTTCTGTAAATCATTCTTAAATTTGAGATTTAGAATTTGAATTCGATAATACTTATTACCACATTCCACATGAAGACCATGAATTGCAAAAAAATATTATATTTGTTTCCTATTTTTATGTTTTTTAAAGAAATTCCAAACTTAGACAACTTTCTGTAACTTTAGATTCAGTTCTTCTTGGGTTCGAAAATTAGTTAAAACTTAATGCTTTATCTCCTTCTAGTACGATCTGTTATTAATATATTTTTAGGAAATCCTAATATGATAATCAAAATTTCAAAGAACGATCGTGCATACAGCAACCAATAATAACACAGGCCTGCGATGGTTTTATTGTCTTGAAATTTTTACATGTTCTACAGTAATTCCTGTACGCTGAATCAGAAA